GCAATAATATGGGTAAATGAATTGAGACAAAGAAGCTAGACATGCTAGTTATTCATGAAAACGGAGACCAAAAAATAGGCAAGTCAATGGGAAAAGAAGACAAAATAATGTATATGGTAACCCTTTGGAAGGGTAGAAGGTCTGGTTGCCTGGCACATTCCATGTTAGTTTGCTCTGTGGAAGAAATGACAGTCTCCTATAAAGATTTATGGCCTTGGAAACCCAATGCAGGGTCGCTGGGAGAAGCGACTTGACAGCAGTGGGTGTGGATTGGCAAGGAGGTAAGTATTGAGGAAAGACACTTCTTGGATACCAGGAATGTTCCGTCTTGAGCCCGGTGATAGTTTTACAGGGGTTTGTTATTCTTGTTGTTAGGTGCCGTTGAGTTGAGGACAACTCAATGCACAGGTGTTTGCATAAAAAAATTTCCCTGGGCTGTAATCAGTTCAATGTACTTTAGTGCATGTAGATGATAACTCATTTAAAAAGACACCACCTCAAACTCATTGTTGTTGAGTTAGAACCCTCTACTAGCTGACTCTCCAGCAGGTTTTCTGAAGGCTTTAAGTAGCACAAGAGGAAACCTGTGGATTTAAACTGCCAGAGAGAGGCTGCCTTTGGAATAGCAGCTCACCTTGCTATCAACTGCACCACCAGATCTCCTTTTTTTTTAAAAAAAAAAATAGGGCTGAGGTAAAGAGTGACCGATAAGATAGAGACATGAGCAGCTCTATATTTCAATCTCCCCAAAACATTTCTTTTTCCCTCTCCATAATCATAATGTTTTTGAAAGTACAACGTAAGTGAGGGAATTGAGAAAGGTAATATAATATTCTGATGATCTGATCAAGCAAAAAAAAAAACAAACCATTACAAAGCATATAGATAATTAAGAATCATGGCTCATCAAGAGAACAAGATGTAGCATAGTGAAGTGTCCGACTATACTATAGATTCGATTGCCTATTAGTCCCTTTAGAAATGTCAGTGTTTATTTCCTGTGTTGATATTACATCCATATGTTTCTTTATACTTATTGTATCTTAGTTTTTGGGTTTTTTTGTTTGTTTGTTTGTTTGTTTTATATATATATATTTTTTATTGGGAAAAACATATTGGTGGTACAAGGAGGTGAGGGTTGGGGGCAGAAGGGTGAGGATGGGCCAGGATGCAGTTGCAGAGCTGCACA